GAAATACTAAAATCTTCTTGAATGGATCTTGCCTAAAACAATCAACTCTTTTTTTCATGACTACGCAAAGGGAGCAGGTATCCTTGCTTTTCAGTTATGTATGTTTTAGCAAGTTTTGTTTCATACCTTTTGTAGGACACACATGGAAAAAGGGCTGAAGGAAAAGGGAGGTTAGGACAGATCTAGACAATCATATTCAAACTACAGAAAAGGACCTGGTCCTTTCTCGAAGATTAACACTCTTAACATTGCAGTTTGAGTTGTGCATGAGAACCTTGAAATTGCCACATGTCTGTCATTCTGGTATCTGAATGTTGTCCCATCTTTTGAGTGCCAAAATGATACCTCATTTTCTCCTTCTTTATATTCCATAGTTCTTTCTATTTCCCCTATAAAATCAAGTAACCTTCCAAATATCAGGGTGTTTCAAAATTCACTTTTCTCTTCTTTTCAAACACACTTCAAATTGTTAACCCCCTTTATTCTTGCTGGATAATTCTCTGATGAAAATGTTTGAAGTGTGATGAAGGATTTGGTCCTCCATGAAAAATGAAGAAGTGGAAAAGATGATATTCAAAAAGGGTGAAGTTGATATTATGAGAAGTTAAAGTTTTCTGAAGAGGAAGGTGTAAAAATAATAATAATAATAATAATAATAATAATAATAATATATATATATATATATATATATATATATATATATATCTAAATTCTTGGTTTATCAATTGTTGATCTATTTATCTCGGAAGCATTGAGTTGTTTGTTTTACCAATCTTTCTATTATGAGAAACTCAGGCTGGTGTTGGAAGCTATGACAATTGCTCGTGTTAACCAGAATACTGAAATGGGTTGTCTAAAAGTCAAGCTGCTTAAACAACACTATTAGAGGGACCAGGTGCCAAAACCAAAAAAAAAATAAAATTGGCAGCTTTGAATGTTCAACATACAGGTTGGGCAGCACAACATGCTGAATGTTAAGAGATGATTCTGTAAATCTTTTGTTAAGGGATATACTCTATTAATTCTATTCTTTCAATCCTTTGCCTCTAAGTCATCACTTCTTTTCCTATCTCTCTATGCCAGTCCTCATTACTCCTTTTGGGCATTGTTCTGGTTTTCATTTGTAATCATATTTGCAATGCTTTGTATGCTGATCTTTTGTGTATGGATGAAAAATGTAATCATATTTGCAATGCTTTGATGACTGATCTTTTGTGTATGGATGAAAAATGTCTTGTTTCAATTGAATTGTATCACTACTTTATGCCTTTTTACTTATGCTCAGTGTTGCCCAAGTGGCCATGAATTTACTGGAACTATATTTCTCTCAACTTGGTTTACTACTTTAACCCTTTTTTATAATGTCAAAACGGGGAACGTTGTTAAGGTAAGGTATGAGATCAAAGGTGTTATAACTGCTTGAAGAATACATGGTCACATTGATAGGGGGAATCAATGGTAGCTACTTGAAGAGATACGGTCATGCTGACAGGGGGAATAAATATTTGCTACCTGACGAGAACCTGGTCCTGTCGGTAGTAGGGGTGTGCAAAAACCGAACCGATAAAATGTTATTGGGTTATTGTTATTGGGTTATTGGGGTTTTAATGGGTTTAGAAAAAATAATTTTTGGGTTATTGGGTCGGTTTTGGTTTATCCTATTGGGTTATTGGGTAAACCGATAACCCAATAAGACGATATTTATTTACTACTTACCCTTCCTCAATATTAAATATGCATAATTTAATACATAAACATATTCAATATTAGCTTTTCAGGCTATGTGATTTTTTGGTTAGGAAATTGGCGAGAACTTTGTTGATTATCTGGTGGATCAAACAACTGTTCAAGATTGTCTCATTGAAATATTTTATTTTAGTTTTAATTCTAGTTCGTAATTGTAGGCGATAGCTTTTGCAAGTTTGTGAATATTAGTAATTTGATCAGCATTCAAAGTTTTCTATTATGTTTTGGCGGTAAGTTGGTAACATGTAATTATAACATACGTACTATTATATATTATTTGATCGAATTTTTTTATTGGGTTAACCGAAACCGAATCGATAACATCAAAAACCGATAAACCGATAAACCAATAAAAAATTTCTTATTGGTTTGTTATTAGGTTAGCATATTTTAAAACAGAAAACCGATAAACCGAACACATTATATGTAAAACCAAACCGAACCGACCGATGCACACCCCTAGCCGGTAGGGGGAAGAAGATGTTTGTCATCATCAAAAAGGGAGAAAATGCTATGCTGATGTTTTGATTATTTGACAAACTTCGGGGATGATTAAACTCCAGTCACCCCAAGAATTCTTTTTGATAGGAGGAGCTGGTGAATAAGCATGTTATCATCAAAAAGGGGAAAATTGTAGTTCGAAGCTGAGTTGAGATGTTAGCTCAAACTTGATATGAAGTTTTGATGATTTAACAAACTTATCGATCTAACAAGGAACCAGATCCTTGTTATTGTAATGCTGACAGTGAGATGAATGATAAACTTTGTGTGAGGTATATTTGTGTGCAATCATCAAAAAGGGGGAAAATGTTATATTCTAGGTGTTTTCATGATCGTCATAAATGCGGGGACCTGGTCCCTGGCATAGTTCTCTCGTCCAGGTACAAATGGGGTACAATCATAAAAGCTGTCATATCAGATGGTAGTGTCCTACACCAATAAAAAGAGCGGATGAGATTGTATGTTTTGATATCTCACAAATGCAGGGCCCTGATCCCAGACAAAGTTTCATTCATCAGATACATAATTGGTTACCGCTGTAAAGTTGTCATGTCAGAGGTTGGTGAGACGTTAGTGTACTACACCAATAAGAATGGAGGAGGGTGTTTGTTCAACGAATAATAACTCTTTATGTTTGATATTTTTAGCATGACAAACACCATATTATATTCATTCATCCAAAGAAGGAAGTCAGTCAGCAAGCCTTTTCAAGAACTCACAAAGAAGTTTGCAAGGGACCTGGTCCCCGCAAAACTGCGACGTGAAAAGGTGAAAAGACAGCTGTCAGAAAAGCCGCCACCTCTGATGCGGTAGGTGCACAACTTTCCAACAAAAGGCCTTCAACCAATGGGATGGTTTCAACGAATTTGTGGTGAAATGTATTATCCAATAAACACAAATTTAAGACTTGACAAATTAAACTTGGATTTCCTCTGAAAATTCACAAGCTTGAATGGAAGACCATCTTCAAGGAAGAACATTGCTCAACTCAACAAAAGGACCTGATAGAGTAAAGAAGAATCTTTGTTGTATTTAGAGCTTTGTGTCTATGTACTTACATTGTAAATCTGTTCCTAATCTATAAAGGATACAAATATTTGCTTTGGGTTTGTAAAATTCTAAATAAGTTAAGGTTAACTGATTTAGTGGGAAACATTGTTTTGTTGCTTAGTTAAATTCTAAGTCATCTAGAGTTAGGTTGTTTAGTTGGTGGTATGATATCCGCTTAACAATTCTAAGTTATCTAGGGGTGATAGCTTAGTGAGCGGTGTTGTATCCTCTTAGGCTCTTGAAGTAATAGGTAGATTACTTGATCGTGAGATTAATAACTTTTTCTCACATTGATTGTAACCGGGTTTCACTTTTGCTTGAGAAGATTAGTGAAGACGGTTGTAAATCTTGTGCAACAGGTCGTGGTTTTACTCCCTTGAGTAAGAAGATTTTCACGTAAACTGCTTGTGTTGTATTATTCATATTGTTTAGTCTTCTGCATTGTTCTTGCTTTGTCAAGGGACCTAATCCGTTGACTGACAGTGAATGCGCATATTCTAACACTTACCTTTGTTTCCTAATAATAATTTTTTTTTCTTAAAATATAATTATATCTCCTACTTCAATTATTGGAGTATATTCTTAGGTTTCCTTTTTGAAGGATATTTTATTCTTTTTACTTTTGACAAATAAAGTTTTCTATAAAATTTGGTCTGTCAACTTAATTACTAGTGTATATGTTACGATGAAATGGTAAGGTGAAAAGTAAAGTTGATGTCACGACCCGAAATGGGTGTGATGGCACTCGTCTTATCCCACCAAGACAAGTCAGCCTAAAACCCAATATCTAACAAAGTGCGGAAGTAAATGACAATCCAACAACAATTTCTATAAAAAAAAACCAAGTCATATTAATTCAATCCCCAAAATCAGGTTGTCACGTGCACAAACCTCTGATGTAAATATTAGAATTGAAACAAAATAGAAGTCTAAAATGAAGTTGTCTTTCAAGTAAAAACAAAGTCATAAACTGGAGTAGGAAAGTTCGCTTAGATGACAAGCAGCTACCTCACAATCCTCCACAAGATGCCTCGAAAACGAAGAGAATGGAAGGTATCACAAAAATTCGGGCTCGTAACCTACAAAAATTTGTAGAAGCAAGGGGTGAGTACCAAACCACGCGGTACCCAACAATCAAACCTCTAAACACAAGTTAAGTGAACAAAATACGGGTACTCCTTACGCCCTATCTAAACCACGCTACAGCCTAACAGTTTACCAAACACACCACTCAATAACCACACTTTATCAGTCTACACATTCTCAATAACAACTCTATGTTCAGCAGTCACAAGCTTCACAGAGAAACAATCACAAGATCAACAAAACACATGTTCAAGTTCATCAATAGTAAAATTTGCAATGCCATGAGATTCAATGTCAAATATCTTGATGCATGTCTTTCTTAACGATACACACCCGCTGTCTCTCAGTCCGGGACCCATGGGGGACATATTTGTCCTTGCATCTGTCGCGGCGCACGACACGACCCTCGATAATAGTATCCTTCGCGGCGCGCGATACGTCCCTCGAAATATGATATCCATCGCGGCGCGCGATACGACCCTCGAAATGGTACATCCTCTTACCACAACTATATCTCAGATACAATGCAAATGACATGCTCAAATGAAAATGAGGAGATAACCATTTTGATACCAAAGCGCAATTTACAACAAGGAATACAACACCGACAAATAAGTTCTCAACATCACACAAGAAGATACATGAATTTCATACGCTTAACAAGAGTTTAGAAATCCACTTGCCTCAATTTATCAAACAATCACTTTGGGACTTTATCCTTCCCCCTTTGTTGAACTTCCAACTCAAGGCAATCTATTCAAATAGATAATCATAATAAGATTTCGACACTAACAACACTCACATGTAAAACATAGACCCAAAACTCATTCAAAGGTATAATAAATTTCCTAAATTTTGATTCCAATCAATAGGTCAAATCTTTTACTTTCTAAGTTCAAATATAGAGTTAAGTCATAATTTCTTCAAAAACTACCATCTTAATAGTTTTGCTATAATATAATACACTTAATTGAATTACATATAATATTATATCGAAGCTATGCTAATTATATAAGAATAGGATTATCAAATTCATTTGAAAAGAAAAAGAATAACCAGAACATTAACTTCTTATAATTATAATATACTTTCCTTTTGTTTCAAAGTTTAAACCTTCTTCCAAACATGTACATCATTATCAACACATTTTGTTTCTGCCCAATTAACAATTACAAAATAATACTTAACAACCTAGTTATAGGATATTAATGTTTTAGTTATTAATTATGGAAATAATATTTCTCCCATGGTTATCATCAATTGTTGGTAAGGAGTTATTATAATATATATATATATATATATATATATATATATATGTATATATATATATATATATAAAAGGCACTCATCTGGTCAACAAAATGAAAGGCAACCATTATTTTTTCCAAGTACAATGAAAAACGGTACTACAGATATGCCAATTTGCATATTTATATGCAATTAAAATTCACTCCTTTCAATTTCAAAACATGACAATTCTAATAAACTAATATATATATATATATATATATATATTGTTAGCATGCTTTGCAGTTTGCTCTTTACCTGGACGAGAATGAAGTGGTGTCTACGCCAGCCGCCACTCACAGGTAGTTTCTGTTTTCCTTTCTAATCACTTCCAACAACCCAATTTAATAATATCTTAGTTTATAATGTAAACAATAAGAAAAGAAAAAAAAATAAAAAATATATATATTAAAATCAATGGTTTTACGAAATGAAAAAAAAAAAACAATTTGCAAATTTTATTATCTGCATCCAAACTTTCCAAACATATATGTATGATCATATCGTGGCAATCATTGCCAATGATTAGATTATTGTTAGTATTTTTTTACAATAATTAAAAATATTATAAAATAATTAAAATTGTAAAGATTTGATTAATACATTCTTTCTCTTTCTCCACACCATAATTGCATATGCATATACATGATATATAATATATAATGTTGAAAGTAGCAATTCAAAGCAACATACCTGCACTTGTTCAATGTCGCCGCCACAAGCAGTTCCTCGTTTTCCCTATTTTTTTTCAGAATTATTTAAGTACTAAAAGTGATAGGTTTTACCCACATATTTTATTAAATATAGGCTAAAAGGGTATAGGGTCTTATATAAATTATCACTTTAGCCCTTAAACTATTGATGAATTAACTTAAGTTAACAAATATACAAAAATTATAAAGAGCGAGTTTTTTTTTTGGGTCATTACAGTTGACCTTCTCTACTTTGTTGTTTTCCAGTGGGCTACGGTTGTCATTATACGCAACAATATTCCTCTATGTATCCTTCTTTATGTTACTCTACCTCTTCTAATTTATGTAATATTCCAGAATTCCACTTTTCTTTTGTTTTGTTTATGGTCTTGTATAGAAGTTAGTGTTGCATATCGGTTGGTTTGGTTCGATTTGGTTTTGAAGTTTATCTTGGCTTATTGGCTATCGATTTGTAGAGATACTAAATCGTTATTGAACCATTACGATATTGACTTATCGATTATTCATTTATCGATTTTTGATCATTATCGGTATAAACGTTAAGATTTGATGGAAAAAATTAAAAAAATCATGTCGAAACAAGGTGACAAATCAAATAAACCATGCACATGAGTTCACAGGTTACATCTTGCTCAAAAGCAAACATTTTTACATTCTAAAATAATTAAGTGTTTGAGACAACCGGAAATAAAAATAGGAAACCAAATTCTAAATCAAGGACTTTATACACAAAACGGCATAAATATAATTATTTAATTTACTATCAGATTATTGGTTAACCGGCTAATAGAAAACCTCAAACCGTTAAAGAGCCGGCAACTCGATAAGAAAAAAAATCAAAATCGTTAAAATAAGGAGCAAGCGGAGTGCTAACCGACTTTGTTTTTTTCATTCATACCAAATCGCTTTAGTACTCTCTTCAAATATTCCTTTTGAGATAAATAGAGTTTCTTTGAATGTCTATCTCTTTTTATCTCCATGCCAAGAATCTTCTTTGCCTCACCCAAATCCTTCATCTCAAACTCCTTTCTTAGTAGATTCTTTAGCTTCTCAATTTCCTCTTGACTCTTAGAAGCTACCAGCATATCATCAACATATAGGAGAAGGTATATAAAGGAATTATCTTCAAGCTTGCGTAAATATACGCAATGATCGTATTTGCTTCTTATGTACTTTTGCTGCAACATAAACTTGTCAAATCGTTTGTACCATTGTCTAGAAGATTGTTTCAATCCGTACAATGATTTTTCAAGTTTGCACACCATATTTTCTTTTCCATCAACTTTGAATCCTTCTGGAATGTCATCAGCTGCAATTGAGTCCGCACAAGCCACCATATCTATGAGTCGAGCAGGTTTTCTTAATGTCCTTTTTGGCTTGCCAGTTGCTATTGATTCAAGTTGTGGTTGAGGTTCCTGAGATGGAACCTCCTCTACGACTGACTCTCCTTCAAGAGGAAAATTTTCTGTTGTTTCCTCGTTTGATCCCTGTGTTGGGAAAATTATCTTTCTCTCAAACTCCACCTGCTTTGAAGTACCATCAATTTGTTTGGCTTCTTCAAGTGATACCTTATTTGTCAAGGCAGATTCATCAAAGGTAACATCCCTGCTGAAAATAACTTTTCTTGTCTCTGGACACCATAAACGGTATCCTTTGACTCCAGAAGTAATTCTCATAAATAAAACTTTCTTTGCTCTTGGGTCCAATTTTGACTCTCTTACATGATAATATGCAATTGAGCAGCAGGTTTTCCATACCATTTTTCAAATGGTGTCTTCCCACCAATAGCAACAGATGGTAGACGATTAATGAGGTGGCACACATATGTTATTGCCTCAGCCCAAAATTCTTTGCCCAAGCCAGTATTGGACAACATACATCGAACTTTCTCCAGCAAAGTTTGGTTCATGCGTTCTGCCACTCCATTCTGTTCTGGTGTATTTTTTATGGTGAAATGTCTAACGATGCCATTTTCCTCACAAATTTTCTGAAAAAGATCATTTTTGTATTCGCCACCATTGTCTATGCGAAGACACTTGATATTTCTGTCACTTAGAGTTTCTATCATCGCCTTCCATTTGAGAAAAATTTCCAATACTTCATCTTTTGTTTTCATCGTATACACCCACAATCTTCGAGAAAAGTCATCAACAAAGGTTACAAAATAGTGTTTCTCACCTAATGAAGGTGTTTTGGAAGCACCCCAAACATCCGAATGAACATAATCCAAAATACCTTTAGTATTATGGCTAACTTTTCTAAATTTAACCCTTGTTTGTTTTCCCTTGATACAATGCTCACAAAATTCCAAGTTGCAAGTTTTTACCCCTTTTAGCAATCCTTGATCTGATAAAGTTTTCAAGGATTTCCCTCCAGCATGCCCCAAGCGCATATGCCATAGCTTGGTCATTTCTGCCTCCTTCTTCTCATTGGACGTTGTTGCCGCTGTCCCAATAACTGTACTACCTTGATAGTGGTACATGTTATTATTTCTTCGAATTGCCTTCATTACCACCAGTGCACCAGAACATATTCTCATCACGCCATTATCTGCAATGACTTTGAACCCCTTTGATTCTAGGGCTCCTACAGAAATGAGATTTTTCTTCAAATCCGGTAGATATCGAACATCTATTAATGTTCTACTTAATCCATCATGGTTCCTTAATTGGATTGAACCAACACCATATGTAGTAAGAGGATTATTGTTTGCAGTGTGAATAACTCCACATTCTCTTTCTAATCAATAAACCAGTCCCGATTGGGACACATATGATAACTACAAGCTGAATTCATCAACCATACATCAGATGATTTGAATGGATCTGTTGTAACTAGTGAGTAATCGGAATCATCACAATCAGCCACATTTGAATCCATGACAGCCTTCCCATTATTTGGTTTGGCTTTGCTATTCAACTTTGGACAGACTTTCTTCCAATGACCTTTTTCTCGGCAAAAGGCACATTCATCTTTGCTGAGTATCGATCTTGACTTGGATCTCCCTTTCTTCGTTCTCATATGATTTTGAAAACGACCTCTCGCAACTAGTGCTTCTGCTTCTCCGCCTTTTTGTTTTTTTCTCTTTCTTTGTTCATAACTGTATAAGGCAGAACAAAATTCTTTGAGCGATACTTCATCATTCCCATGCAGTAGAGTCGTTTCAAGATTCTCAAACTCATCGGGAAGTGAACTTAACAACATTAAGTCCATATCTCCATCCGTAAAAGTCACGTCCATATTTCACAAATCTGTCGCAAACTTATTAAAGCTGGTGATATGATCATTCATTGTGCTACCGGGAACATAAGTGAAGCGTAACAGTCTTCTTTTCATGTAAAGTTTATTTTGACTGTTTTTCTTCAAGAATTTCTCCTCCAATGAATTCCATAATTTGTTTGCAGATGTTTCCTTCGTGTATGGATACTTTTGTTCTCTTCCAAGGTAAGATCGAATGGTACCGTAAGCAACACGGTTGATAATCTTCCAATCTTCTTCTCCTACACCGTCTGGTTTCTTTTCTTCAATGGCAATATCTAGCCCTTGTTGAAAAAGAACATCAAGGACCTCGCCTTGCCACATTCCAAAATGTCCTGACCCGTCAAAAATTTCAACTGCAAATTTCGCATTTGACACAACTCTTGTCATAAGTGAAGATTCCAATGATGACGTATTATTGACACTTGATGTGGACTCATCATTTTTCTTGTCTCCCATTTTACTACAAATACTATTTACTAGCTAACAATGCAAAGACCAAAGTAAATCTTTTTCTGATGTGGAAGTTAAGACTATGCTGCAACCACAGAGCATACTTAGATAATACCTTGGCTCTGATACCAATTGTTGCGGAAGCCGAATATATAGAGAGTGATGGAATCACAACTACTATATCTAAAGGTAGCTAATAAATAGTAAACGAGACAATCACAGAAAAGAACACCAGGAATTAACGAGGTTCAGCAAACTTTTGTTTTATTTTGCCTACTCCTCGGACACAAACAATCAATATTTATTTCACTCCAAAAGAGTACAAGTGAAATACTACAAGAGAGAAAGAAGAACAAATGTCTTAGAAGATGAGAAGTCAAGTGAGAGGTATATTACAAATGAATTAGGAGCTACCTATTTATAGTAGTGAATTCTTCCTATTGACGTCATCCATGACATCACAATATGTCAAAATGTCAACAATTCTTGCTTATGCTATTGAATTTTTTAGATTCCAACTCCTCCAAAGGCCATAGTTTGTTGAGTTATGTACTCAAAATGTCGTTATCTATTCCCCAACTGATAACAATATATTCACTCTCCTATGCTAATTAGTTTCTACTCTCTTATATATTATTATTACATGTGATATTACAACGAATTTGCAGGCAGTCCACATTAATGCAAAAAAACTGTGTTTAATGAAGCTGAACGATTGTAGCATGCATTCTAGTATTGATGTTATATAAGAATACAAATTGATAACACAATATTCTCTAATACCTATATTGGTGGAAAGTAGAAAATACTCTATGATATTCGGCCGCATATACATATGCCACACACTTATATATGACATTCTCAAATTTTATTTAAGAAAAAAAAAGGAGAACAAGACAGATATCAAATTAAAAATTCATGACAAATAACCCACAAACCAAATGGTTTACTGGAACATAAACCTAGAATTGTCTATTAAGAAATTTTCTTCTGGTAAATGTCTAATAATTTTCTACTCTTCTAATGTATTTTGGTACGAATTTTAAGGATGTTTTCAACAATGAAGAATGATCATCCTAAAAGTCATAGCAAAGTACATTAGAAGAGTAGAGAATTAGTACAGCAATTCTCTTAGATGCATTTGGGATCTCTCCTGTGACTTTGTTAATCTACATACATTTGTTCTTTAGTGGACATAGGATCATTTTGATCTGAACCACGTTAAATATAATTATTCTTCCTTGTTTTTTATTTTCATATTTCCACTAACATTTTTGTTTCCAAAAGGGTCTTTTTCCCTCTTTCATCCATATTGGACTTTTACTTGTCTTTCAAAGATTCATCTTTTACCTTGCAACTCAGAGTTGGTTTATTTTCTTAATTTACTCTTCTTCTTTTTTTTTTTTTTTATATATCTTCTTATCTATATAGATTTGACAAGAATTAGTATTTTTACAATACTACAAATAAAGAATGTAATCTCAATAATATAGTTGTCTCAGTATTAAATTTAATGACAATATTAAATATGAATATTTATAACCAATATTTTGCATAAATATAGTAAAAACTTTAGTGACTCTAGATGCAATTACATTAACTCAATTAACTCAATTGACGCAAAATATTTTTCGGCAATATTTAAAAAATATAATGCCACTAAATGGCTATTTGTTGTAGTGTTGTTTCTTTTTAGGTATCCAACCTCATAATTAATAATAAACAAAGACAACATCAAGCTAGAGCACATATATAATAAAACGTATACACCACCAAAATTGATCAATAAAAAGGAAATTTCACGTGATGAGACACCAAAGTACAAAATAAAATAAGAATTGAAATTCTAGAATTATTCTTGAAACATTAACATTAGCTAAAACAAACACATGGACATAGATATACACTAGTCATGAAAACAACAAGAACATCACCGGTTAAACTTGAAAATGAATTAAAAAGTTCTTAATGGAGTAAACTTTCTTCACTATATTGATAAAAATCTCCAAGCGTTAGATTATAGTAGAAAATCACCGGTTAAACTTGAAAATGAAACAAGGAATTGACTAGAGCATGACCAAACAACTTTGCCAAACTCGACTCTACCTCCGTTTATATCTTGAGCAACCAGATTTGTTGTGTTGTTTTCTTAGTTTTTGGTGAATTACAGTTGAACGACTCTTTTCATGACATTTTAAAAATGATGTCTTTGAATTCTACATGGCTATGTAATGGTAAAATATCAGTGGAGAATGTGAACTGAGGCTGAATTTTTTTGTTGGGCTAGCTGCGGCTGCTACTCTTTTTCTTAGAGTCCTTTTAGTTTTACACATTAGGTTTAGAGTGAATGTGATCTATTTCTCGTGTCTAAACTTTCTAATATGCCCTTACAGATTTGTAAGAAGATCCAAATAAATTGGGGGTGAGTTACATCTTTTGATTTTTCTTTTTAAAAATAACCAAAAAATAGTATGGTACCGAAGTATTAAATATAAGAATATTAAACAACATATTTTTAGACTTTTCTATGCAAATCGAAAATAAAAGTATTATCTAAACAATGACTATTTTTGTGGTTTTCATTTTTCTCAAGTAAAAATGACATAACAATTAGATTTAAAATAGATATTTAAAGCTAAAAATTTGGTTGAAACTCGAGGAAGGTAAAAATCATGTATTAATCGATGAGGTTCAACATTATAAAACTAAAACTGGACATACTCAACTAGCTAACTCAAGAGACTGAAAAGCAATTTTCATTCTTGCTAGTAATAAATTCATGTGTGCTATTTTATGAGATTGTTAAAGCCCTTCAAGATTGAAGTCTGTATCCGTTTGTTTTCTTTTAATAGCATTTACTACTTATATAACTAAAATCACCTTTGCAAGCAGATCGAATTCCAATTAGGGAAATATTACAAGCTCAAGGAGATAATAGACATAACCCCTTTGGAAGTCCAAATTTAATTTTCATATATGCCTTCACTTAACAAGTAATGGACCAAGTCCCTTACTACACTAATGAATAAAAGGAAAGTTAAATGCAGTAAAATCAACACGATGATTTTACGTGAAAACCTCCTTTCTTTAAGAGAGTAAAACCACGACCTATCTCACAGGATTTTCAATCGTTTTCACTAATCTTCAAAAGCAAAAGTAAAACACGATTACACCAAACGTAAGATAGAGTTATCAATCTTACAGTTAAGCAATAGTTCTCTATTGCTTAACAAACCTAAGTAGAAAACAATCTACCCACTAAGCTATCCCACCTGGACAACCTAGACTTTTAACACAACACACCAATTCCTTTATAGATTCAGGAATGGTTTACAAATTAAGAACAAGAGAATGTATTCCTAAACAACTAGACGAAAAGCTCCAGAAACTGCTGTTGTTCTTGGAATAATTCTGCCTTTGCTTTGTAGTAGCCTTTGCAAGAGTTCTTGAATTTTTTTTATCAAGTTGCAAAAACTAAAACAAAATGTTTAGGAAAATGTCTTTTATATGGGCAAGTCACTTTCCTAAACCTCTTTGTCGTTGGCTCGAAAAGTCACACTTTCTGACGCCATCGGGAAGTGTGCACCTACTTTCTGTACCGTCTCCAGCTGGCAATCAACTGACTCCTCATCATGAGAGCCTGGTACCTATACTAGGTCCCTGGATTTGTTTCATCTACAATACTCAAGCAAGAACACTGCAATAGTCAATTAAGAAACTGGTACCTTTACAAGGTCCCCAAGTTTGTCAAATCATCAAAACTACAAATAACATTTTCCCCCTTTTTGATGATGACAAACACTGAAGTCATAATCTAGGATCCTCTCCAACTTTGTTCACCCTTTTTATATTCCCCCTCACTGTACGTTCCCCCCCACTGTATGTTCCCCCTCACTGTATGTTCCCCCTCACTAAAATATCATTTAGCTACGCACTACACAATTTTAGTTCCCCCTTTTGACATCATAAAAAAGAAACGCAGTAAACCAGAGATGTGAGCAGAAACACTGAACAAGATCAAGGCTAAAAAGCAACTAATCAGTAAAGAAAAAGCATGCACAAGAGGAGATAATTAGAACATCACAGGAATGAATTAACCAGTACGCCATAATAACATAAATACATTAGAACCAAACTGAACATTCTTCAACACATTGAAAAGCCACAAAAAAATTTGACACAGGGGGGGGGGGGGGGTTCAACAAACTAGGAAGAGGGAGGAGGATGAGACAGGGATTGGATAACAAGAGTGAGTCGTGCATTGGCAGCATCATTATCTTTGATGGCCTTTTCTTGTAGGGCAGTTATCTTCGCCTTCAACTGAGTATTCTCTTTCTCTAGAGCTTGAACCACTGAAGAACTAGGTCCCTCACTTTGTGCAGTAAGTAGTTATGCTTTGAGTATAACAATCTCTGCCTCTTTACCACTTAACCGCACAGTAAGCTCCTCAACCTCATGCTTAAGCTGCTCCTGATCATCAACCAGTTAGGCCATTTTGCTCTTTGGATAGCCTCTTCCTTCAATGCATTCTCACTCAACCAAGGTACTTTCAGAGATAGTTTGCTTAACTGTCCCCATTTTTCCCACACTAAGAGGAATTTGAAAATGCTTAAATACCTCTGTAAGAAAGTATCCATAACCCATTCCGTGAACACCTTTCCTCTCAATGACAGTTTTGTGGATATGCTCAAGCATTAGACCAGGTAGGTTCAAGGCCTCGAAGTTGCAAAACATCTCCATCACAAACAAATCAGCAGCAGTTGCTACTGTCCTCTTTTCAGTGCGAGGAAGGAGAACTTTGTTGATAAACTCAAAAACAAACTGATACTCACTCTTCATGATTTTCTTATAAATCCCAGCAACCTTGGTTGTGGGTGTCTTAGAAATCACAACAGCAAACTCAGAAGAGCAAGTTCTACCCAGTACAGACCCGGTCCCCTCTCTAGGAACCCTGAGAATTTTGCTCAACACACCCTCATCTAAACATATAGCAATGTTACTTACTC